TCTCGCGTGTTTTGTCTTCTTTGACCGTCCTGTCCCGCCGTCGTAACACATCAAATGTTCTCTATGTCAAAACCTTAATTTTGGCGTTTCCTATGATTTCTCTTGCTTTCCCATTCCATTTAACTCAGGCCATCACTACGAAGCACTCTTATCACCAGTTTTGTCCCAAAAGCTTGCCTTTGGAATCATCCTCGACATTTCCGTGGCAATCTAGGGCTAACCTTGGAGAATCAAGGAATGGTCCGCATGAGGAGATGCCACTCTTTTCCGGAGCTCAATGAAAGGGACGTCGTAAACGTCTGCCCCAGTACCTGTTTGCATAATGAATGTTGTATGAAAAACTATTTATGTGAATTCACTGAAGTAGCCATAAAACTTCCACGAACCAGCATATATTGAACTTTATTATGTAGAATTAATTATTAGGGAGATGTACAATATGTAAAAATTCGGGCGAGTCTATTCCACATCCTGAAGCTGCCTGACAACCGTGTTCGTGGCGCAAAATCGTTCCATCTCCTTCATAGCCGTACCCAGCAGCTGTGGGCTGAGGCTGAGGCAAAGTGCGTGAAATCTCTTTGAGGAAGCCAAATGCAAAGGGATTCTAAATCATTCACCATTATCGTATTTCAGCAAAGATATTGGACTGACTGCACTCACGCTTCTCAGGGGAAAACAGAACTGATCGAAGTGAAGAACTAGCGACTCGTGGCATTTGTCCTGCTGCTCAGGATCTGTCTTTGGGCCAACGCTTCCACGAAGCAGCACCATCAACTCCTCGAAGAACTTGCCAAAGTGCTTCACGTTTCTGTAGAGAAAAAATCAAAAGTACAGTGAGAACTTGAATGGAACTTCTTTGCATCTTTACGCTTCAGATTTTTTGCATTCACTTCATACGAACGCTTAAGTTAGCCTTGTTTTTGAGGTCTTCTGTCGGCTGTAACGTGTTTCGTGTAATTTCTTAGAGACCTAATTACTGCCATGTCATCTTCTTGTTTTATGGCAATGGCTTTATGGCTATTTCATGTTCGCGAGACCTTCAATTAGCTATTGTGAAGAAAGAAATGAGGTTACAAACCGGCTGACACGAGAAACTTTGCTATTCACGCAATTTCCCCGAGTTCTTCGAATCTGTGAACCCTTTGCAATCAACACCGTCGAAGTAATAGAGCCTTTCTCCATTGCATTTTCAGGGTGTGAAGAAGAAGACCTGGATGGGCGCTTCCTTGTTCTGATGGTGTAAACATCGTGAGTGATCATGAGTGGGGGCTTGAATGGCGAACGATATGAACGCTCCACTTGAAGGGTCTCTTCAGCTAAAAACTAAGTGGCAATCTCCGACTTTACTATTTCCAGCACTGCTCTGAACAAGTTCGCTCTCTACCCCAACAGTGACTCTTCACTATTTATCGATGCATGAATAGTATTGCGGCCATAAAGAAATCTATTAATTAATTAATAATTATTGAGCATCAGCAGGCCGAAACGAATGCCCCGACTGCATTCGAATGATTTGCCGCAAAAATTGAGGGCACAACTGTAAAAGAGACTGCTTATGTGGACTCCTGTTTGGAAAAACTACCTTATCTTCAATTGCTGTAGCTTAAAATTGGGTCGCACAGGTATGAACTAGGAACTATCGCTACAGCATTGGAAAGGGCATCGAAAAGGCTAGGCCTTTGATATTGGCAGAGCATCCGTATGGATACTTCGCTGTCGTCTCGAGAGCACAGATTGGTCGACCAGTGGTCGTTCCCGTGAGTGACCGGAACTCTGTGTCTACGGGAGTCTCAAGACTGGTCAATTGCGGGAGGTGGAAGCCCTTAAAAATCAGCTAATGACTCCTTCGCAGGAACGCTTTATACATATTATTCCTCATGGAAGGAGGCTTTGTACGATGGGTGACTGATGACAACCCTCTACGAGAGTGCGGACAAAGTGGCTGAGTTTTCGTTAATTGGCGCAGGCATAGAGCCAAGCCCTGAAACTTAGTCCTCACTAGAAGAACCGGTAATTGTTTGACGGTTGGGTCCACTCACTTATAGGTCGTGCTCCGTTGCACAAAATACGTAATTAGGGCGTTAGTCCCTTATAGAATTGCAGCCATCGACCGTGATTGATGTGGAGATCAGCGTGCTCTCTCCAGTGATTTGCCTTCTTGATCGCACTTTCTCCCCTTGCACTACAATCGACCTTGCCGGAAGTAAGGTCATGGTTTTCGATGATGCTTCTTGCTTTCTTCTCCACTTTCACTCCACCGCTCAGCTGTTCTGTAGAGCGCTCCAGTGAACCAATTCTTACTCCGATCTTGCTTTCAAAAGCGAAAATTACCAGTAGAGGCCCTGGCTTTCCTCAATTATATGAAAGCAGCTTCCGATTAAATCAGTCAGTCTGTCCGAAGCTCGTGTTCTGCAGGTGCTGATGACAAAATGTGGCCAACCGTTCATTCTGATTAACGAGTGGAATTGCATTTTTTCGGAATGGGGCTTGAGTCCGGGCTTTATACGGGAACGACGTAGATGTGAAAAAATGCTGAAATGGATTAGATGTAGAACATGCTGTCAGGAGCAGCATGTGTGTGATCGACCCCGTTTGATGCGAGGAGGTTTGGAGTCTTGCGGTAGGAATTCATACATTATACGAAGTTATACGACGATGCTATCAGTACCATTGGAGAGTGTTGTGCGGGGGTGGTCGTAAAATTTTTCAAGAGAGAACTTGTCGATGAAAAGTTAGCTGATTTGAAATAAAAGTAGAGGTGTTCAGTGGAGCAGGGATGAAGAGAAAAGCATTCAAAACGGCCCGAATATGAAAAAATGTGTTGGACCTTCACCTTGCTCATTTCATTTGCCACACTGATGGACTCTCATCGTGTGCCTCCTGCTAATAGTCCGCTTCCGTCTGCTGTCTGATCACTGCGCCAATTATAGGGTCGGCGAATGAATTGAATCTGGATGGGGCGTATACGCCGCCCAACCGCGCAAGTAGTGAACATGCTAGATCACCGAGATTCACTCTTTCGCTGGCTCATCATCTTGCACCGTCGTGCAGCAGCCCTCAGGAGTCCGCCTGTCTCCGCCTTTGCAACTTTTTCTCCTTTTTGACCTCTTCTTTTTCGTGAATGTATCTCTTTAAGACGGCGCACGTCCAAGTCCGTTTTCTATGAATAAGCGTGTGCAGATCAGGAGGCTTAGTCGATTATCCTATGTGTCATCATTATAACAGAAGGGCTTTGGAAACAGATAGTGATAAACCCGAGAAAAATGTTAAAATACAAGCATAAATGGAGATATCACTCTGATAAGACTTACGAGCAACATCTGGTGTAGCTCGTCGCGAATTTCCGATTCCTCCGCTGTTCCTTCAACTTGGTCAGCTCTCATTGCTAACGAGAGGATCGGCACATCTCGAATATTAATGATGTTCAGCGGCTGAAACATTCAGCTCTGTCAGTTGCATTTATGAGAAGAGCCATGTGTAAGGGCACACACTCGACTCACGCTGTCGGACATTTCCTCCTTTCGCGATAGGGCGCTGCTCACCGACAATGTGCCTTGGAAATAGCCTACAGGATCTTTGGTAAGTGAATCGGATCCGAAGATCTGCACAGTAGACGACCTACATAAATTGATGGAGTTACTCGACGATGAGGGTCTGACAACTCACTTACCTGACTTGACTTTTCACCTCAGCGTATTGCTGAAAGATTGACAGATCGAGAAGATTGTGCTAAAACTTTGAAACAAATAAGATTTTCTCTGGAAACTGTTTGTCGTGCCTCTAAAGCAAGGGTCAGTACGAGGCCGGCCAGTCAACAATCAAAATATTCAGTTTATAGCACGAAAAGAACTAAAGTAAGCAGGACCACCCTTTAAGATACCAAGAAAACTCTGGAGCCATTTGTGGGAAAAACACAGAATGTTGATGGCGTCAAAAGTGCTTTTATCCATATGCCTCTACTACTCTCAAGGGGAGTCGTTAGCATGCGCCGCACATTGGGCTTTCGTGATTTGCTGAATCCTTTTAATCTGCAGAGGGATCCGATTTCGAGGCGAAATGGAGGTCTCGCAGAGATTGCAGTAAAAGGAACAAGTCCTCTGCATTAATCAGCTCCCAGGGTAAAATTTGCAAACTCAAAAACTGCCTCAAGTTGACTAGAAAACGACGCAATTTACTTGAAATAGACACAACTCCGGAAGCGAAAAAAGTTGATAATGAACGTTCTTCCACATCAACGAGTGTCTTTTTTTTTGAGTGCGAGTAGAGGCGAATAAATACGAACATTGCAAAATTAGCTCTCCTTGCTCTTCGGCTGTGAGTTCATTCATTTCCTGCACATGTGTCTGCATACATGGATGAAGACCTTCTAGCAGGGTCAACCGTCACGTTCGAACATTTTCGGGATTTTTGCGACCCCCTAGCTCTCGAGGGGGTCCAGTTGCGACCCCCTGTTTTTGTTAATAAGAGTGCTAGACATGAATCCGTTGCGCCAGAAAGCGTCTGCGCCGCCGCCGCAGAAAGCGTCTGCGTTGCGGCGTCAGCCTTGGAGCGCGGCAGGTATCACCCGGGCGCTGGAAGAACGGGACGCGGCGAAGAAAAAATTTTAGAGGGGAATAACTTTCTTGGGACGTACTTTTTTGACTTGTTGAGGTAGATTTTGATTGTGCCTGAGGTGCGCTTTCAGAAAACTACAAGGATTT